CATCTCAGACCACTAATTACCCCAACAAAAGGCGCAGTTAAAATATAACAAATTCTCACTACGGGCAGCACACTCCCACCAATATTCCAAACACTAAACCTACTCACCATACAAAACTTTCCATACTTATTACTGCACCTATTACATACATAAACACTTAACTCTGATATTAACCCTCCCTCAAACATCTCCCTTGCCAACCTCAACAGAACACATGACCATAACACAAGGCACAGATCACCTTTGACGTTCCTCGGTCCATCTCACCTATGCAAAACTCAATGCACATAAAAGGCCCAAAATCTGGAATTCATTCCCTTTAAATATAAAAGAAACACTACCTGTTTATAAATTCAAGTCTCTTCTCAAAGATCACTTACTCAAAAACCAAATAAATACTGAATAACTGAACCTTATAAAATTGTATATCCTATATGTTACTCACAATTATATCACATAAATGTTAAACCTAGGACCCAATTTAACTTTGTTTTTTTTTTAAATACACTACCTAACAGAATACTCCATTCGACTGAATGTACAGCAATGCAAGCAACCATATGACCTGTCTTTGTAATACTCATTTGTGCTTTATAGCTATCTGTTTACAATAATGTTTTATCACTGATTTCATCATTGCTTAGTTAATATTAAGTTAATTTTAAGCCAGCCCGTAATGCTATGCATAGTATAAGTGGCTTTGGCATGCTGCTCTTACCTGTATTTTTTTGTACCTCTGTATGTATGCTAAAATTACTAAATTACTAAATATATTAATTTCTTCACTGCCCTTCTCCTCATTTGATTCACCTATACATGCCTCTCTTTTGGCTAATGAGATGTTTAAATTTATTGTTTATCCATTTAAAATAATTTTTGTTTGATCTAATTTGATTTAACTACACAATAGAGTGAAGAACTAATGTGAATGACCCAGGAGTGATGTCAGTGAATCTCACTTTCAAAGATCACAGTCATTGTATCTACCACATCTAGGAAAATGATAAGATGGATAATGAAAACTTTCGAAACTAGAGATGCCAAGCCCATGATGATTATCTTGAAATCACTCATTCTCTCTGTGTTACAGTACTGCTCTACTCTAATGATCCCTTTCAAGGTTGGCAAAATTGTAGGCCTGGAAAATATGCAAGAGAAGTTTGACCGCATGTATAAATACAATACAGCACCTGAATTATGGAACTGTTTGAAATGTAGGGTACTGGAGTATCTGGGGTACTGGGAGGGTGGAGTACCTGGTATATTGGGAGGGTGATGGAGTACCTGATGAACAGGAAGGGTGATGGAATGCCTGGTGTACTGGGATGGGTGGTGTACCTGGGGTACTGGAAGGTGTGGTGTACCTGAGGTACTGGGAAGGGTGGTGTACCTGGGGTACCAGGAAAGGTGGTTGTGTACCTCTGGTACTGGGAGGGTGATGGAGTATCTGGTGCACTGGGATGGGTGTGTACTTGGGGTACTGAGAGGGGTAGTGTACTTGGGGTACTGGTATGGTGGTGGTGTACCTCTGGTACTGGGAGAGTGATGGAATATCTGGTGTACTGGGAGGGGTGGTGTTCCTGGGGTAGTGGGAGGGGGTGGTGTACCTGAGGTGCTGGGAGGGTGGTGATGTACATGAGGTACTGGGAGGGAGTGGTGTACCTGAGGTACTGAGAGGGTGGTGTACCTGGGGTATTGGGAGGGGTTGGTGTACCTTGAGGTACTGGAGGGGTGATGTACATGACGGTACTGGAGGAGTGGTGTACCTGAGGTACTGGAAGGGGTGGTGTACCTGGGTATTGGAGGTCGTACTGAGGGCTGGGGGTGGTGATGTACATGAGTACTGGGAGGGGGGGTTACCTGAGGTACTGGAGAGGGTGGTGTACCTGGGGTATTGGGAGGGTTGGTGTACTGAGGCTAGGAGTGGTGATGTCCTGTGGTACTGGGAGGGGGGTGTACCTGAGGTACTGAGGGGGGTGGTGTTACCTGGTACTGGGAGGTGGTGGTGTACAGGAGTACTGGGAGGGGTGGTGTACCTGGGTACTGGAGGTGTGTGTACCTGGGTACTGGAGGGTGGTGTACTGGAGCACTGGGAGGGGATGGTGTACCTGGGCACTGGAGGTGGTAGTGTACCTGGGTACTGGGAGGGGTGGTTACCTAGCATACTGGAAGGGTGGTGGTGTACCTGGGTACTTGGAGGGGTTGGAGTACTTGGGTACTGGGAGGGTGGTGTACCTGAGGTACTAGGGTAGATGGGGGGTGTACCTGTGGGGACTGGGAGGGGGTGGTGTACCTGAGGTACTGGGAGGGTGATGTGTATGGGTACTGGGAGGGGGTGGTGTACCTGGGTACTGGAAGGGTGGTGTACCTGGGTATGGAGGGTGGTGCACTGGGTACTGGATGGTGTGTGTACGCGTACTGGAGGGTGTACTGGGTACTGGGAGGGTGGTGTACCTGGGCTACTGGGAGGGTGGTGGTGTACATGGATACTGGGAGGGTGGTGTACCTGAGGTACTGGGAGAGGGTGGTGTACCTGAGGTACATGGAGGGTGGTGTACCTGAGGTATTGGGAGGTGGTGTCCTGTGGTACGGGAGGGGTGGTGTACCTGAGGTACTGGGAGGGGATGGTTACCTGTGGGTACTGGGAGGGGTGGTGTACCTGGGTACTGGGAGGGGGTACAGGTGTACCTGGGGTACTGGGAGGGTGGTGGTGTACCTGTGGTTACTGGGGAAGTGGTGTACCTGGGGTACTGGGAGGAGGTGGTGTACCTGAGGTATTGGGAGGGTAGTGTACCTGTGGTACTGGGAGGGGGTGGCGTACCTGAGGTACTGAGAGGGGATCGTGTTACCTTTGGTACTGGGAGGGGGTGGTGTACTGGGGTATTTGGATGGGGGGTGTACCTGAGGTAGTGGGAGAATGGTGGTGTACCTTGGGTACTAGGAGTGTGGTGATGTACCTGGGATACTGGGAAGGGTGGTGCACCTGGGGTACTAATGGGGTGGTGTACCTGAGGTACTGGGAGGGGATGGTGTACCTGAGGTACTGGGAGGGGGTGGTTTTCCTCGGGTCCTAGGAGGGTGGTGGTGTACCTGGGGTACTGGGAGGGCGTGGAGTACCTGGGGTACTGGGAGGGGTGGTGTACCTGTGGTACTGTGGTACTGGGGGGGTTCCTGGGGTACAGGAGGGGGTTGTGTCCTGGTCTGGGGGTGGTTACCTGATGACAGCTGTTCAGCTGGCTGAGGAGGGCCCTTGCTGGATGAAGCAACTACGACCATGAAGCAACACAGACCATGAACAGCACAGACTAGTGAAGCCCAGACTAGGCAACACAGACATTGAAGCACACAGACCAGTGAAGCAACACAGACCAGTGAAGCAACACAGACCAGTGAAGCAGCACAGACTAGTGAAGCAACACAGACCAGTGAAGCAACACAGACCAGTGAAGCAAGCACAGACCAGTGAAGCAACACAGACCAGTGAAGCAACACAGACCAGTGAAGCAACACAGACCAGTGAAGCAACACAGACCAGTGAAGCAACACAGACTAGTGAAGCAACACAGACCAGTGAAGCAACACAGACCAGTGAAGCAGCACAGACCAGTGAAGCAACACAGACCAGTGAAGCAACACAGACCAGTGAAGCAACACAGACCAGTGAAGCAACACAGACCAGTGAAGCAACACAGACCAGTGAAGCAACACAGACTAGTGAAGCAACACAGACCAGTGAAGCAACACAGACCAGTGAAGCAGCACAGACCAGTGAAGCAACACAGACCAGTGAAGCAACACAGACCAGTGAAGCAACACAGCAACTTAACTATATTCACTACCTGGAGAGGGTTTCGTGGGTCACCACCCCCGCGGTTCGATGTGATCAGGTCTCGCTGTAGATCAGGCCTGATCAACCAGGCTGTTACTGCTAGCCTCACGAAAATTGACGTAAGATACACCACAGCCCTACTGGTCAGGTACTGACTTTAGATGTTTGTCCAACGCCTTCTTGAAGATCAGCTGTTGCTTAAGTGAAGAAAACAGAATGTATACTGTATGATTGGAAAGGTAAAGTTGTGGTAATACTTTGTAGTGTAACGAGGAAGTCATATATCAAGACCAACTTCAGTGAAATACTTTGGAATATCCTTTGATCTATGTGTGTCAGGTGAATTATTTCTGAAGAAGAGAAGTGGAACAAGCAAATGCAAGGTTTAAAGTTGCTTTGGACAGGTTTTTTCTGCTCAGGCAGACAAGACCCTCTGACTAGTATTTCACTAATGGTATGTACATGTTTCTTGTTCTTCGTGATACATTACTCTCATTAAAAAAAGTGAAAAAACGGACTAGAAATAAAATAGTGATATTCATCCTGGACCTGAGTCCAGGAGAATATGTAATCCAGGATGTATTACAACCTCTACAAGTGTCCTAAAAATGAAGACTGAGTAAATCAAGTGAAACTGTTTGTTATATTGTTAACCAATGTTCGGAATATCTTATTATTAACAACCAATGTTCGGAATATCTTATTGTTAACAACCAATGTTCGGAATATATTGTAAATTCTGTCATTGTTAGCAACTAAAGGCAGTGTGACATAGAGGAGGTGAACACAATTTTCCCGGTTAGTTAGGTTACAAATATCTTATAATATTAGACAGTGAGTGCAGTGGGTTACGTGATCATGTCCAGACCAAATTTAGTATGAAGGAAAACAGTCACGGGACAGAATGAAAATAGCTATGGGGAGGGACACTTGTCATGTGCTGCCAAAATATTCCTTATTTGTTTTTAATCTCTCATTGATTTTCATGATAATTTACTTATGTTAAAATCACTAAGGAGGGTAAGTCGGCATGTATTTGTGCTTAAATAACAAAATACAATTATATACAACATGAGGATCTGAATGTTACATTGTTTTATGTTCAGTTCTACCTGATTTACTACATTAAACCATTGTAAAAGTTAACATTGATGTCTAAATAAAAACTTACAGTAAAAAAGGTTGATAGAAGTAGTGTTCTGGTAGCTACGGCAATTTTGTTTTTATTCTTGACAATCAATATTGAATGTTTGGTCATTGTTGACGTTGAAGATGCAGACACTAACTGTGAATGTTGTGTTAACACGTACACTCACTAACTGTGAGTGTAGAGTGATGATGAGATGTGTGAGGCAGTGATACACATGTATAGTGTTGTGATGGTGGTAGATGAGAGGCAGCTGCCTGCTGCTACACTATTGATGTTACTCTGGCCACCACTAACACCAAGGTTGCTGCTCCTCTTACCACACGCTCCCACCACACTAACATCTCCTACACTCCTTCTCATCTATTACCTTCTTTATTTAACATACATTATGCTGAATATATCTTTGAATGTTCACAGGAACTTTTCGTGTGTGTTTGTGTACGTTTAGTTCTTTACATATGTGGTTATACAAGTGCTTGATGGCAAGTATCTTGCGGGTGTCAGTTTTCCTGTTTTAAACTAGCCACAATATAACGAAATTGTCATCCTTAGTGACTAAACTCATGAATGTAAACTGATTTACCGTTATCCTGAATGCAATAAATTTGCTGTGTTTATTTAGCACAGTAAGTGGCTTAGAAGACATAACTGTTATGGTAACTGTGGGAACTTGTGATCTGTGGAAACTTGTGAGATGTCGAAGACCTCAGTCACTCTGGACAACACAAGAACACAGCAGTCACTCTGGACAACACAAGAACACAGCAGTCACTCTGGACAACACAAGAACACAGCAGTCACTCTGGACACAACACAAGAACACAGCAGTCACTCTGGACACAACACAAGAACACAGCAGTCACTCTGGACACAACACAAGACCACAGCAGTCACTCTGGACACAACACAAGAACACAGCAGTCACTCTGGACACAACACAAGAACACAGTAGTCACTCTGGACACAACACAAGAACACAGCAGTCACTCTGGACACAACACAAGAACACAGCAGTCACTCTGGACACAACACAAGAACACAGCAGTCACTCTGGACACAACACAAGAACACAGCAGTCACTCTGGACACAACACAAGAACACAGCAGTCACTCTGGACACAACACAAGAACACAGCAGTCACTCTGGACACAACACAAGAACACAGCAGTCACTCTGGACACAACACAAGAACACAGCAATCACTCTGGACACAACACAAGAACACAGCAGTCACTCTGGACACAACACAAGAACACAGCAGTCACTCTGGACACAACACAAGAACACAGCAGTCACTCTGGACACAACACAAGAACACAGCAGTCACTCTGGACACAACACAAGAACACGGCAGTCTGGACACAACACAAGAACACGGCAGTCACTCTGGACACAACACAAGAACACAGCAGTCACTCTGGACACAACACAAGAACACAGCAGTCACTCTGGACACAACACAAGAACACAGCAGTCACTCTGGACACAACACAAGAACACAGCAGTCACTCTGGACACAACACAAGAACACGGCAGTCTGGACACAACACAAGAACACGGCAGTCACTCTGGACACAACACAAGAACACGGCAGTCACTCTGGACACAACACAAGAACACGGCAGTCACTCTGGACACAACACAAGAACACAGCAGTCACTCTGGACACAACACAACACAGCAGTCACTCTGGACACAACACAAGAACACAGGAGTCACTCTGGACACAACACAAGAACACAGCAGTCACTCTGGACACCACACGAACACAGCAGTCACTCTGGACACAACACAAGAACACAGCAGTCACTCTGGACACAACGCAAGAACACAGCAGTCACTCTGGACACATCACAAGAACACAGCAGTCACTCTGGACACAACACAAGAACACAGCAGTCACTCTGGACAACACAAGAACACAGCAGTCACTCTGGACACAAGAACACAGCAGTTACTCTGGACACAAGAACACTGCAGTCACTGGACACAACACAAGAACACAGCAGTCACTCTGGACACAACACAAGAACACAGCAGTCACTCTGGACACAACACAAGAACACAGCAGTCACTCTGGACACACAAGAACACAAGTCACTCTGGACACAACACAAGAAGACAGCAGTCACTCTGGACACAACACAAGAACACCGCAGTAACTCTGGACACAACACAAGAACACAGCAGTCACTCTGGACACAACACAAGAACACCGCAGTAACTCTGGACACAACACAAGACTCCGAGACCTGTCCTCACAACCACTCCTGAGATATACTTTTGAGAATCGACCAAGTTACAGGAAATTCCTGCCTCCATGCACGAACTAAAATAGACTTATTTGGTTTTTGGAGTCTATACTAGCTAGAAATCCCCTGATTCTACCCAGGCTACTGACATTTCTAATGGCTTCCCCCTTCAAGGCGCCACGTGCAGTGAAGGACTGATTTTTGCAAGATGTTAAATATTATCACTAACTCCAACAACACCTTAGGGTGGCGTCGGACAAAAAATTGT